CTGCCTTTTGGCCGTACGTTCACTTTTATTATGGTTTCCACGCAATCCTTTATAAATGAGACCCCTGGTGCAGCAGCAGCATGCTTTAAAACTCTCACAGGTTTATAAGTTTTTGAGGAGCAGCTACTGTTCCTCTGCAGCAGCTCCAGACAAACAGCTGTGAAAAACCTTCAAAAGTAAAGCAGAAAAACAAAAAGCGACACTTTCAGGCACCTCATCGTGGACAGAGTGACGCTCGGAGCCGTGGAGCAAACAACGCTTTGGAAACTTCAGGCTTGTAATGAGTGAAGATAAAATTAAAAACGTGTCAGACTGAAGAGGAAACTTAATGAAGCAGCTGCTGAATTATGGAGGAGGCAGGAAAACATGGCAGGTCTCAGGAGGCCTTAAAGATAAACATGAAACTGAACAAAACAGCTCAGATGTTCAGACACATTTAATCAATCAACAGATTTTAATCAGCCCGGATCTGTCGGCCTCCGGGGTCAAACTGCCTCTGTGGTCTTCATGASTTTAACAAAGTTTCACAACTTTGTTTCACTCAGTTTGGACCGAACCAAACAGAACTGAAGGTTTCCTCCCGTTTCTTAACGAGGAGCAGTTAACGAGCAACATGCGTCAGGGCAACAACGAGAGAAGCTTAAAACAAACTGGTTCTGGTTCTGGTTCTGTCCCTGCCTCGGGCCGACGCAGTAATCCAGAGCCGAGATGTTTGTGGATCGATACGGAGCTCACCCACTCTGCAGCCTGAGAGTCAGAGGCTAAGCTAACTGACACAACAGCTGCTGAAGCTGCAGAATAAATGTATTCATCACACACACACACACACACACACACACACACAGTGGAGGAGGCTAACGGAGGTCTCTATGAACCTGACCTGAGTGGGACCATCAGGCCCAACAGAGCACATCTTCTCTTCAGGTTGGAGAAGTTTTATCATTTGAATCAAATCTGATTGAAGATGTTCGTTTTACTGAWGGTCCCCATTAGTCTGTGGCTCAGCAGAGACTACTCCTCCTGGGAACCAACACAAAAAATAAAACACTAAAAACAAAACAATTTAAACAACAAAACAACACAATTAAAATCAAATATCTAAACTACATAAAAGTTACAACAAAACAAAAAAGCCAAGACAATCCTCAAACTGAAACCTCAACATGAAATCTGAAACCAAAAAAACACTGACAACTGTTTATCAACTGCTGGTCCGTGGGCCTTTTCTGGGAACCTTTATATTCATTGGAGGTGACATT